CCCCCAGGAGCGCAGGGAGATGTGGAGCGGCTTTTCTCACCGCGGAGGACACGGGCAGCAGGACCGCTCCGCGTCTCGGTGGTCCTGCCGCCCGCGTCCTCCACAGCGAGAAAAGCCGCTCTGTGTCTCCCTGGTCTGCTGGGGGAGAAGCGCCCCTCGTGCCGCCGGAGGCGGTGACAGTGGGGGAGGCACCCCGCAGTAGCGGGGGGGCCCCCCCGGTTCGTAACTAGGGGTCCGACTTAAGTCGGACCCACGTAACCCGGGGACTGCCTGTAGTCTCTGATGCCAAAGAATAGTCATATGTGTGAAACTTGCAGGTTTGGGCCTTTTGTTGCAGCTGTGCCTTTTATTTAAATATGACTAGAAATATCCCAATCACTTGCATGAAAACTGACTTTTTGGTAAATTAAGGCTTAAATATTCTCCATTAGTGCAAAGATCTCAAACACAACTGCAGTTGTATTAATGCACAAGAACAAGCAATAGAAACTGACCCATAGCAACTATCTAGTCCAGCTATATTTGATTGCAAGAAGCCACAAGGAACCAGGTGGCATTGTGTCATTTCCTAATTTTCAACATCTCTAAATCTCTGACCTAGCTGTAGACTAGGAGTCTGAAAGGCCACTCCCACTCTGTGTAATGTAGGAGTTACTCCCGTGAAGTTAATGAAGTTGTGTAACTTGAGTAGGAGACACAAATTCAGCCTATACAAAGGGCATGCATGTTGTAAGAAAAGCCTCTCTAACTTCATTTATTGTTAATTGCATAAAAATGTAAACAATCTTACAGCGGTATTATAAATTTCATTACTTAAATTGGGTAGTTTATTTCACTATTGTGTGAAAATAAAATCTTCATGTGGCCTTTTTACATTTTTTAAAGCATGTGACCTCTAAGTGTCTCTCCTTTGCTATATATAGGTGGAACAGATATAATTTCTTGTTTTATGGGTCAGAATGTTACAATTCCAGTTTACAAAGGAGAGATTCAGGCAAGGAACCTGGGTATGGCAGTTGAAGCATGGAATGATGAAGGTAACTATATTTTCCAGTCAATTCCATACGAACTTCTAACTAAAATGTATGACTATAGGAACTTTACGATTTATGGGACTGATCTATCCTCTCTTGATCAGCTGATATTCCAATCCAATGTCCAGAAATGGCTATCATCTTATGGAGATCTCAATACAGTTTCATGTTTACAGTTAGCCATCAACTCCATGCCCTTAGTGGGGGGTAGTCTATGTTGTGGAAGCTTTTCCCACTAAAAACTGGACTGAGCCAGTCTGATGGCTGTTCGGAACCCTGTATTATGAGACTATATCCCAACTTCTTGTATTTGAATTTACTAGTTACATTCCTGTCTAATTAAAGAGTGTCTCTACCAGACAATGGACTAAATTCTCTACTGATGTAAGTTCATTAAAGTTTAATGAAGGAAAAAAATTCTCTGCAACTTGGATAATGATTTGCCTACTGTGATAATTAGGTAATGTACACCCAGATTGGGTTTCTTGCCATTCTAGAGACCTTGGGCGCTTGGCAGCACTTTGGTCTTTCCTGTTCTGTCCCTGTGTCTCAATGCTTCATCTCCTGAGGGCTGAAATACATTGGTCTAACTGAAGTTTTTGGTTTAATATAGAGGTACCTGGGAGAGGCTTGTGATAAATGAGGCTAAATAAGAAGGGAACATTAGACCATATAATCTTACACTCGGAAGTTAAATCAAAATTGAGTTTAGTCCATTGCCATGAACTCTTTAGATCTGCCACTAATGCCTGGAATGACAGGGCCTCTGGGTGTTACCATTATGCAAATATTAATCCTGGGTGTTTTGCTTTGGTACGTAGCAGTAGGCCAAAGGGAAGTACAAAAAATCTGTGTTTTTTTTTATTTTTTTTATTTGTAAACAGGCAAACCAGTCTGGGGAGAAAGCGGTGAGCTGGTTTGTACCAAGCCTATGCCTTGTCAACCGACACACTTCTGGAATGATGAGAATGGAAACAAATACAGGAAAGCTTATTTTTCAAAATTCCCAGGTAGGTGGCGAAATGCTTAGCTCATTATTAGAACTGGCTAGGCATATAGAAAAGGTGATTGTTTTAATAAATAATAAGCCTGCTCTTGCCCATGGATGTATCTAGATTTACAAGGGTAACAAATGTTTGATAAATACCTTGCTATCTATTTCCTGAGGCCTTGTTCTGAATTTCAGTCTGGATTAGTTGAATTTGAATTCCTGGAAAACTTTTTCTGATACTGTTGTCATTAGATAAATAGGGCTGTTACTGCAGCGCGATCTGACGCAGGTCAGGTGTACACTATTGGGAGTATAAGTATGAGAAGGAAGTGAAAGGAGCAATCATCCATTGAGTTTCTACTGTACCGTTGCCAGACTGCTCCTGTCTAGTGTCAGAAATAAGTCTTAAGAGGCAAGCCATGGCCTACTACAGTGGTCACCAAGCAGTAGATTGGGATCTACTGGTAGATCTTGGAGCCTCTGAGAGGTGATCCTGACTTGTTCGGCCGAGAGGCTATCAGGTGCCACCACTTCATCTGCCTCAGAGCTGTCCCCTCAGGAGCCTCTTGTTTACTGGGCAGGGGAGGGTGCTGATGTCAGGGTGTCCCCCCACACTCTGTATCCCATCTCAACAGAGCAGAGAGGAGACACAACAGGGCTTGGGATGGGAGGGAGTTTGCCGGCTGCTTTTGAGAATGGTGCGGGGCCAGGGCAGGGGTGAGCCTGCCTTAGCCCCACTGCATCATCACCTAGGAGCCACCAGACGTCAGCAAGGCCTAGCTGGAGCCCACATCCCAAAACTCTACCCCAGTCATGAACCCCTCCTACACCCTAAGCCCTAGCTCCAAGCACCTCTGCATCCCAACATCCTCCCAGAGCCTGCACCTAGCATCCCTCCTGCACCTCCACTGCCTGCCCCAAGCTCAGAGCCCCTCTCTCACTCAAGATTGCTTCATCCAAGACCACAGTCTGCACCCTAACCCTCAGCCCCAGCCTGGTGAAAGTGAGGGAGGATGGGGGAGGAAGGGAGGATGGAGTGAGCAGGAACAGGTCCTCAGAGAAGAGACACACAGAAGGTGGGGCAAGGGCATTAGGGTGTGAGGTAGATCGTTGATGGCATTTAAATTCAAAAAGTGATCTCATGCTTTAAAAGGTTGGAGACCAGTGGCTTAGTACTACTTTAATGTGAGGGGAGCCAGTATCTTGTTTGTCATGCTCTTTTTCCACTCGCACACCAGCCTTGTGCTAATAAGAATAAAGGAACAGATTTGAAGTGGGTTACATGCTTGCTTGTCCTTATCCTGGAGGATGGACTGGGTCTCCACATAGTCTTTTCTCAACTTCCACTGAAGCATAGCAACTTGCCCAGCATGGAGTGCAAGGCCTTGTGGGATCAAAGCCTTGAGTCCTTCTCCCTCCCCCTCCCCCCCCCAGAGCTAGAGGGAAGCCTTGCTAAGGTGTCAAATGAGTCTAAGGAAGAGTGCCTTTAATTGTGAGAAGTCATAGTAAGAGATTTCAGTCTGGATTAGTTGAATTTGAATTCCTGGAAAACTTTTTCTGATACTGTTGTCATTAGATAAATAGGGCTGTTACTGCAGCGCGATCTGACGCAGGTCAGGTGTACACTATTGGGAGTATAAGTATGAGAAGGAAGTGAAAGGAGCAATCATCCATTGAGTTTCTACTGTACCGTTGCCAGACTGCTCCTGTCTAGTGTCAGAAATAAGTCTTAAGAGGCAAGCCATGGCCTACTACAGTGGTCACCAAGCAGTAGATTGGGATCTACTGGTAGATCTTGGAGCCTCTGAGAGGTGATCCTGACTTGTTCGGCCGAGAGGCTATCAGGTGCCACCACTTCATCTGCCTCAGAGCTGTCCCCTCAGGAGCCTCTTGTTTACTGGGCAGGGGAGGGTGCTGATGTCAGGGTGTCCCCCCACACTCTGTATCCCATCTCAACAGAGCAGAGAGGAGACACAACAGGGCTTGGGATGGGAGGGAGTTTGCCGGCTGCTTTTGAGAATGGTGCGGGGCCAGGGCAGGGGTGAGCCTGCCTTAGCCCCACTGCATCATCACCTAGGAGCCACCAGACGTCAGCAAGGCCTAGCTGGAGCCCACATCCCAAAACTCTACCCCAGTCATGAACCCCTCCTACACCCTAAGCCCTAGCTCCAAGCACCTCTGCATCCCAACATCCTCCCAGAGCCTGCACCTAGCATCCCTCCTGCACCTCCACTGCCTGCCCCAAGCTCAGAGCCCCTCTCTCACTCAAGATTGCTTCATCCAAGACCACAGTCTGCACCCTAACCCTCAGCCCCAGCCTGGTGAAAGTGAGGGAGGATGGGGGAGGAAGGGAGGATGGAGTGAGCAGGAACAGGTCCTCAGAGAAGAGACACACAGAAGGTGGGGCAAGGGCATTAGGGTGTGAGGTAGATCGTTGATGGCATTTAAATTCAAAAAGTGATCTCATGCTTTAAAAGGTTGGAGACCAGTGGCTTAGTACTACTTTAATGTGAGGGGAGCCAGTATCTTGTTTGTCATGCTCTTTTTCCACTCGCACACCAGCCTTGTGCTAATAAGAATAAAGGAACAGATTTGAAGTGGGTTACATGCTTGCTTGTCCTTATCCTGGAGGATGGACTGGGTCTCCACATAGTCTTTTCTCAACTTCCACTGAAGCATAGCAACTTGCCCAGCATGGAGTGCAAGGCCTTGTGGGATCAAAGCCTTGAGTCCTTCTCCCTCCCCCTCCCCCCCCCAGAGCTAGAGGGAAGCCTTGCTAAGGTGTCAAATGAGTCTAAGGAAGAGTGCCTTTAATTGTGAGAAGTCATAGTAAGAGTGTCAGAAGGGTAGCCAAGTTAGTCTATAACTGGAAAAATTTAAAACAACAAATAGTCTAGCAGCACTTTAAACACTAACAAAACATGTAGATGGTATCATGAATTTTCGTGGGCACAATGTACTTCAGCTGAAGAAGTAAGTGGGTTGTGCCCACAAAAGCTCATGATACCATCTGCATACATGTTTTGTTAGTCTTAAAGGTGCTGCTAGACTATTTAAGTTTTTTTCCAGTTATAGACTAACTTGGCTACCCCTCTGACACTCTCTTACTATGACTTCTCACAATTAAAGGCACTCTTCCTTGTACTCACTTGATACCTTAATAAGGTTTTAAGTTTTTCCAGTAAGAGAGTGCTCATTTGTGAAGTGGTAACTTGCACTTAACCACCGGGATCAGTTGACTGTTCCAGTCCTTGTCCCTTTTCTTATTTTATAAGCTGTATTAAGCAGTTTTTGCTATGTTTATAATTTATAGCAATCTTTTCTGTCCCATTGTTTATATGGAGTGACAAGTTTCCTTCCTTGGGGGTAGAAAAGAGGGACAACTTGAAAATACAATGTTTGGTAAGACCCCACACATTAAAACTTCGAACACAGACACTTGTGATTCTACTATAAATCTTTCTTCCTGGGAAATAATCTGTTTCATTGTGTGTGAGCCTTGCTAACTCCAAGTACACTTAAAACAGGTCTCTGACAGTTTTCTACACACACTGTTCTACAGTCACAAATCAAAATAGTCTTTTTATTCTTCCGTTGCTGTCTCACTACAATTTAAAAGACTGCATAGAGAAACAGAGCACAAACTGTGCCTAACAGTGGCAGTAGTTACCAATACACAGACATAGCCTCTGTCCTTTGTTTGTAAGCTTTCTGCTGGAAAGAGGTGTGCATTTATTTTTAACAATAGATTATTTCTTTCTTGGGCTTTCCAGTACTATGTTCTCTGTCTTGATGCTTTGGCAGTTATAGTACATTTCACTTAACTAGCCAAGAACAAAAGAGACCACTGAATCCATGTAAAAGCACATGTGCATGCACCCATAGCAACCACAACTCTAAAAGGCTAGATCACTGTGAATGACAGCAGTCATCCCTGAGAAGCCAGTAGCAATAGTGATTTCAGTGAATTGCTGGAAACATCATTTGTGTTCTGTAGAAATGTTTTACTCTGAAGCTTTGTCTAAAACTTGTCAGTTGAGGAATGGAATGGTGCTTGCGCATGTGTGGTTGATGTTTTGTCCTTAGGCAAAATTTGGGGGAAAAAATGGGTCACATTTCTGTTACTAGCACTGGAGTTTCTCCATGTTCAGCCCCACTGTAGCTAAGAAACATCTGGCCCAATGTGTTTGGCCCTGCTTTTATAGTAGGGTGTCTCAAACTCCTGGCCTGCAGCTCATCCCCAGTGGAGGGCAGCTTCTCTCCATTACCACCCCCAAGCTTTGCCCCCTCTCAACACTGCCCTGCCTCCCATGGCACTCTCTTCCCAAAGACATGGCTTTAGGGATCACTGGGGGGTGGGGGTCTGGCACTGTGTTCGCAGCATTTTGCTCTCCCCACCCCTTCCTCCCCCCGCTTGGAATTCACCATGGTGGCAGGAATCATCAGAGAAGTGGAAAGAGAGGGTGGGATGATGACGGGAAGGGGCAAAGCTTGAGGGCTGGTAACAGAGCCCCCGGGCTACTAGGAGTTTCGGGCCAGATAGTGCAATGACTTTGGCTGGGATTAGCTTGCAGGCTGAGAGTTTGAGGCTCCTGTTCTGTGGGTCCAATTCTGTGTGTTTTTGCCCAGTGTAAATGCAGAGTATAACTCATCAAGCAAAATGGGAGTCCACTGTAAACTCTAAGGCCTGCCACAGAAAGCCCATGCCCCAGAATTACTCATAGGGCAGAGGAAGACCCCTTTAGGGGTGTTATCTAAACTGGAGGGGTCTCATACCTCACTATGGTTGGTATTCAAAACATTGACTCATTGAGGGTCCTGCATCACACTCTCAGTGAAGCTTTTAAAACAAGACTCCAGCACCTCTGTGTGTAGTGAGGAGTTGACTGAGCATGCTCATGCCAATCAATTCTTCTCCCCCACTCTCTGAAGGGGGAAGGGCAACATCCCAGCTCTGGGTCCCATACAAGTACATGTTGTGCAGCCTGCTAGAACAAGCCTCTGTTTCAGTTAGTGGAGTTAAATTACTGTATTGGAGGATCAGAATTGTGCCCAGAATCTTTAGGGTTAAATAGTGCTTCTTGGGGTAAGTAAGGGCTATACATGTTCACAATAGTCCTTTGATTCTTCTTGGCAAAGTGTCCATATGGGTGCTCCACTATAGGTGCCTTGGCACTCCTGTGCTTCAAATCAGAACTTTTTAGCTGCAGCACCCCCTTAGGAACCGTCCCTGAGTTCCTTCTCAACTGCTTCTGGCTTTGGTCGGAACCCTAAAGCACTTGGTGTTTGGTTTAGATGGTGTTAGTTGTTAGTAGTATATTCTTAGTGTTATGGGTTCAGCCCCTCTTCTTAATTATTTTTCTCAAAAAAAAAATCTTTTTTAGTAGTTTATTAGGAATAGAGTAGTGATCCCAGGCTCCCCAGGATTTAAGTGGTGCCTGACATTCAGCATTCATTGCCTGGGCCAGGATCATTCTCCCAAGGGTTGCTACCACTATAAGAAGCTCTCTTCTTGATCTTTGAAAGCGAGAGAGCTTCAGCTAAAACTCCTCACAATGGAGAAGACAGAGACCAGTCTTGGAAGCAGTATCTCAACCCTTTCCACCTCCTACCTCTTGGAGAATCTTCTTTCCTTAAATAAACAAAATCTTTCAAATTCTTCAGTAAAGGTCCACCTAGCAACTATTTCTAGTGAGCATAATATAGACGGTCACACCATTTTTTTTGCATCCGACCACTAGAAATTATTAAAGGCTCTTCTCAGTAATATGTTCCCCCAATAAAGGCCATAGTGCCATCTTGGGATCTTAATCTGCTCTCCATTTGAACTGATAGCAGCATGTGTCTTATCGCACCTTTCCACGAAAGTTGCATTCTTGCCATCACAACAGCCAAAAAGGTCAGTGAGTTGGCAGCGCTCGTGGCAGATCCGCCATTTATGACCTTTCACAAAGACAAAGTGGTGCTGAGACTATATCTGAAATTTCTTCTAAAGATAGTTTTACAGTTCCACCTCAATCAACCTATATATTTCCGTTTGCCACCAACAGCCTCATTCTGGCGCTAATGCATCTTGACTCCACTCTTTGGATGTTCAATGGGCGGTTGCTTTTTACCTAGATAGAGCAATTGAGATGCTCTTCTGGATTGCTCCAAAAGGCCAGGCAATTTTGAAATGGAGCTCTCAAAATGGATAATAAATTGTATTAAAACTTGCTCTGATATGAATACGGTGTCATTAATGATTCAGTTGCAGATGCACCACCAGGGCAATAACCACTTCCACAGCTTTCATCCATAATGTGCCCATTACAGATATTTTTAAAGCTGCAACATGGCCTTTACAAAACATTATGCAATAGATACTTACACTGAACAAATTGTTAGGTTTGGGAGGGCAGTCCTGTCTGCCATTGACAGGTCAGGTCTGAATCCCCTCCTTCCAGATGCTCAGGGCACAGCTTCATAGTCACCGACAGTGGAACGGCAACAGGGACACTCCTTGAAGAAGGAGAGGTTACTCCCTTTATGCAGTAACTGGTGTTCTTCAAAATGTGTCCCCCTGTGGGCGTTCCATGACCTTCCATCCTCCCCTCTGCTTTAGGATTGTAACATCTCTCCACGGTAGAGAACGAACTGAGGGACAGTTGATGGCACTCATGCCTGTTGGCACACTTTTTGCAGCATGTGCGTTGATACCCAAGGGATACTTCTGCTAAAAAGTTCCAATTATAAGCACAGGAGCACCAAGGCACCAACAGTGGAGCATCCCCAGGGACCCCCATCTCGAAGAACATCAGATACTGCACAAGGTGAATAACCTCTGTTTTCTGTCAGCAGGACTACTCATCTGTCCTTTGCCTTACACCAGGGGTGGGGAACCTTTATAGGTCAAGGGGCTGCCAACTTACAGAAAAATTAGTCAGGGGGGCGGCACAAGTGGAAAGCACAAACACCTCCTGAATAAACAAACCATCCCACCAAAACCAAATCCTCACTGATGTGGCCCCCAGCTGAGAAGCAGAAAGACATATCCCACATTCCCCTTGCATACTAGAGTCTAGGGGGCCCCAAATGAGCTCGTTAACACTTTTTCACCTTCTGACAGGTGTTTGGGCTCATGGTGACTACTGCAAAATAAATCCTGAGACTGGAGGAATAGTCATGCTTGGCCGCAGGTAAAGTATATTTTGGTAAAGCTGTTCTGCGGGAATATGCAAAAAGTTGGCTGGTTCTGTTTGGCTGCAGGAGAACATGTGACTATTTCAGATGACTTCCCACTCTGGCTCAGTTTCCTGATCTGATGAGGAAATCTACTAGGATCCTGTTACTTTCAGCAATGTAAATTTAATTGTTTACAATAATAGTCAGTAGGGATGTGAAAGTGTAACCATGAACATTGCTACATCCATAATAGCAATGTTATAATAGGCAGCAGGTTTAAAAAAAACAAAAGGAAGTATTTCTTTACAGAAGGCATAGTCAATCTGTGGAACTCCTTGTCAGAGGAAGTTGTAAAGGCAAAGAATATAACAGCATTAAAAAAATAACTGGATAAGGTTAGGTCCATCAATGGCTTTTGGCAGGATGGGCAGGGATGGTATCCCTAGCCTGTGTCAGGACCTGGGAATGAGTGATAGGGGATCACGTGTTGATTACTTGTTCTGTTCATTCCCTCTGGAACAACTGGCACTGATCCAGTATGATTGTTCTTGTGAGCAACTGAAAAGTTATATGGCAGTTCACAAGCTAATGTAAGGTATTTGTGCAGGATTGCAAGCCTCTAATCTCTTGAGCTTTGAGAGGGCATGCTGCTGAGAAACTGGGATTTCACAGGATGCAGGCTAGAGATTTGGACACTAGATAGTCAAAACTGGGCTGTATTCGGATCAGAATTGTTACATAATTTTGAGGAAGTCACTGGCTTGTAATTGTAAAAGTATTGTGGGGGGTTTTTGTGGTCAGGTGTCCAGCTTGAGGTGCCATGGGCCTGATTTTCAACAGTGCTGAGTAAAACTCCAGTGAGCCTCATGCCTCTGAAAATTAGGCCTTACAATGTCTCTAGTTGGACTCTCTGAAGTGGGTTGTGCCGACGAAAGCTCATGATACCATCTACATGTTTTGTTAGTCTATAAAGTGCTACCAGACCATTTGTTGTTTTTTTCTGACAGTGAAAGGACTGGCAATGTCTCCCTTAACTAGGAATGTAAAAGGTTAAATGGTTACCCAGTAAGCATTAGTCTTACTGGAATGCTTATCCAGTGACTGGCTAACTAGAGGATTGCCTGGCCAGAGCAGACCGGGCAATGGGGCCCCTGTCTGGAGCAGCCCCCACCATAGGACTCGAATTGTCCCTGGCTAATTGCTTAAATGATTAAAATTTTATTGTTTAACTTTTTAATTGGTATTTACGTCCCTAACTTCAATTTCTTTTTGCCACAGGTTCCTTTTGGTAGTGTGAGAATGGCACTTCCCCTCCCTCCTTTTTTTTTTTTTTTTTTTTTTGGTTAAAAAGCTGTGAAAGCTAGGGATCGGAAGTGTGAGGGAGTGTTTTATTCTGAGTTGCTGTGCTCATTTTGAAGAGTTAATAGAACTTCAGGCTCAGGAGCATTGTTATCTTCTATGGCAGTATTTACAAATCTGCTGTCAGTTTTAATGGTGAGTTAGTGGTACAGGACTGGGCATGAAAAGCAGGGCAACAGGCCTGGTTCAACTTTTAGGACCAGCTCATGGAGTCCTTTATCCTCAGAGTGAGAGATGCTGGGGAAATGGAGCTAACCCACTCCAAGGAAAGATACCATCGCAGTGCGAAGGAGTGCTACAAGGCACCTGACTCTTACTTTGTGGCTGGGTGTTGGTGGTCATACAATATGATGGGGAGGGGAGGGGCAGCTAATTTAGCTACAGCTAATCAGGAAAGAGATCTTGGAGTCATCGTGGATAGTTCTCTGAAGACGTCCACACAGCGTGCAGCGGCAGTCAAAAAAGCAAACAGGATGTGAGGAGTAATTAAAAAAGGGATAGAGAATAAGATGGAGAATATGTTATTGCTCTTATATAAATCCATGGTACGCCCACATCTTGAATACTGTGTACAGATGTGGTCTCATCTCAAAAAAGATATACTGGCATTCGAAAAAGTTCAGAGAAGGACAACTAAAATGATTAGGGGTTTGGAATGGGTCCCATATGGAGAGATTAAAAGAGACTGGGACTTTTCAGCTTGGAAAAGAGGAGACTGAGGGGGGATATGATAGAGGTCTATACAATCATGAGTGGTGTAGAGAAAGTGAATAAGAAAAATTTATTTATTTGTTCCCATAATACAAGAACTAGGGGCCGCCAAATGAAATTAATAGGCAGAAGGTTTAAAACAAAAGGATGTTCTTTTTCACACAGCACACAGTCAACCTGTGGAACTCCTTGCCTGAGGAGGTTGTGAAGGCTAGGACTGTAACAGGGTTTAAAAGAGAACTTGATACATTCATGGAGGTTAAGTCCATTAATGGCTATTAGCCAGTATGGGTAAGGAATGGTGTCCCTAGCCTCTGTTTGTCAGAGGTGGAGATGGATGGCAGGAGATCCCTTGAGCAGTACCTGTTCAGTTCTCTCCCTCTGGGACACTTGGCATTGGCCACTGTCAGCAGACAGGGTACTGGACTGGATGTACCTTTGGTTTGACTCAGTATGGCTATTCTTATGTTCGTAGCTCTAAATGAGAAAAAATCAGTATTGTCTTTTGGGGCACCGAGGAAACAAATGAGGAGAAGAATGTGGTTTGTTTAGGTCAGGGGCCTCATACTCCCGGCCTGCGGGCCATCTACAGCTGGAGCGACTGAGCAATCTGGCCTGGGACTCCCAGCAAACTGGGGGAAGGGGAGTTGTCCATTACCTAATTTTTGACATGGGGTCCACTTCAAGATTTTGGAAAGTGGTCGAGGGTTGCAGTCTTCTATTATATTAATTGAAGAGATATGGGTTCTAGGATGGAGGTTGGGTGAAGAAGGGAGCTTTGGGATAAGGGATTGGGGTGCATGAAGGAGACTGGAGTCTGGGAGGGAGTTGGTAAACCTCTTTCTACGAGGAAGAAGCCTTTTTCCAAAAGAGCTCTTTTGGAAAAAGGTATGTGTGGATGGGGAACAGGAAGTTCAAAAGAAGAGGTAAGAGGAAAAAGCGCAGGTGGCCATTTCATCCATAGTAATGTGTGGGGAGCAGGGGGGAGCAGAGAGTTGGGGCAGGAAAAGGCTGGGATGTCAGAAGCAGGTTGTGGCCAAGAGACTTACTTGTCATCTGCCAAACTAACCTGCCTGCAGAACTTAGTGTTTCCCAGTCTGCCTGCTTGCCTGGCCATGTGCTTCATGAATAACTGAACTGAGGAGAGGGGGCGTGATTCTTCTTCGGTTACTCCAACAAGCAGCTCCCAGTGGGAATGTGCTGGGAGCTGAGTGGCTCCTAAAACTTCCCCCATCTCTTCCGGTTTTAAAACAAACTGAGCCCTGCATCAGTGTTTCTGCACAGTGCGTGAGGTTGAGGGGCAAGCAGCTGAGTCTGCCTGGGGCTCCCCGCTGCTTCCACAGGCTGGATCTGGTGTTTTTGTAGGCTGTATTAGGCCCGCAGGCCAAATTTTCCCAGGCCTGCCCTAAGCCCTGCATCTTCACACCATTACGTATCTATTCTTCCCCTTGGCAGCCTGTCCCCTGGGGATATGGTGATGGGGATCACCGGTGGAGAGGGGCGTGGCACAGCAGGGAAAGCTGAGTGCAGAGAATGCAGGGGAGTAACTGCTGCTGTTTCACCCCATCAGGCCCCCACTTCCTAGTTATCCCCTAAGCTGCATCCTTGGGACACGGGGTGCCATGTGGGAGAGAAAGCAGGGCAACGATGAGAAGGGGCAAGGCTGGATTGTGCCGTCATTCTGTTTGGGGATGATCTATGGTATGGGAGTTGAGACCCCGGTTTAAGTTCTGTGCAAACATTACTTTTAATGAGGGCAGAGCTTCTTTTATACAAATCTTATCCCATTTCTGATACAACTTCCTGCATATTTCAGCACATCAGATATTGAGAAACTTTGTAAATTGCATAATGTTTTCACTTTATCAGACTCTAATTGCATTTTAATACTCCTCTGTTTGTGTTTACCTTTCAGTGATGGTACGCTAAATCCAAATGGAGTGAGATTTGGAAGTTCTGAAATCTATAACATAGGTAGGAAAAACTTTCATCTACTTTTTTGCAATTGTGATGTGTAGCATCAAATCTGAAATGTGAGCATTTAAAGAACAGAGTTTTATTAATTCTTTCAACATGTTATATTTCATTGGATAGGTTCTAAACAAGAGCATATTATCATTAACAGTGAAATACTGCTTTGCTGGCCATGAAATTACTTACCTTTCAAAAGAATTTACTACACTAAGGGAGGTTGCCATCTGAAATGGGCTGCATTTTTATTAAGATGTTACATGTTTGTATTAAAGCTTATAAGAATTGTGAACTCTTTTATGTTACTTTAGAAGAGAATCCCATATTTCTGAGGTTTGTTTTCTCCATACAAATTAAGACAGTGCTTGGTTGTTTTTATCAAGTCATTGTCAGTAGCTGGAATAAATTCTTGGGGCTTTTAAAAAAAAAAAAATTCTTTTCTGCCATAAGTGAATCTGTGCACAAAGGCAGTATATGACCCTATGAAATCAGCAGAAAGTTAACTGTAACGAGAGAGGGCGGAGACCTGCAATGGTGTCACATTCCTCTGCAACAGAACAATACTTTGATTCACTGTTGCAGAAGACCACTGTTCTTGTACAGTGTGAAATCTGAATGGTCTGCTTCCCTTTGTGGCCGGTGTGGCAGACTTCTGAAGATTTATGGCTATTGCCTTAGGTTACATTTCGCTTAGTTACTCCCTTACGGTATGTAACTTTAATAGCGTCTATACATGCAAACCTCTATTTCGAAATAGCAGGGTGCTTAATTCGAATTTGGTAAACCTCATTCTACGAGGAGTAACGCCAAATTTGAAATAGCTATTTCGAATTAAGTGCTGTGTTGACACTTAATTCAAAATAGGGGGCCTCCAGCCCTTTCCAGGGAGGCCTGGTGGCCTCTCTGGGCACAATCAGGAAAACTTACTCTCCTCTCCCCTAGCCTCAGAGACATTAAAGGGGTAGACCCTGGCCACAGTGCCTGTGCCATCTCCAAGCCTGCCAGCCCAGAGCCAGCAGTGACCACCGGGGCTCCTGACCCAGTGGTCCCAAAACATGAGCAACAAAGCCACTGGCAGCCAGCCCTCCACCACTCCCCAGGAGCAGTTTGCCAGCTCCCAGGAGCCTGACGGACTGGAGAAGTTGTGCTCCTTCCTGGTCCAGGGTGGAGATCACGGACCTCATTCAGGTTTGGGGGGGATGCCCCCAACATCCATGATCTCCGCACTAGACGGAGGAATGCAGCCATCTGTGGCAGGATAGCTGCCAGCCTGGCCACCAAAGGCTACATGCGAACCCAGGAGCAGGTTTGCATGAAAATCAAGTTGGTCCGGCAAGACCCCCAACCCTGGGCCCTGCTTTTTCCCCTTGCTTCCCCTTTTTCCCCTTGCTTACCCCTTTTTCCCCTTGCTTCCCCCTTCCAGCTCCCCCCTCCCTTTTCCCACCCTCTCTTCCCTCTCCCATCTCCTTTTCCCAGTCTCCCCAGAGGTTCATCCCTCCCCCAGTTTTGTTCAATAAACCCAGTTTCTATTTTTGAACATATGTGTCTTTTATTTGACATTAGGAAGGGGGCTAGGGAGGGATAAGTGGAAGGACATGAGGGAAGAATGGGGCACAAGCCCCTGGTGGGGAGGACCAGGGTGGCTCTCAGGGCTCCTCGGGGTGGACGTTCTCCTGCAGGGCCTCCTGGATCCTGACAGCCCCCCGATGGGCCTCCCAGATGGCAGCCTGCAGCAAATGCAGCCAGGCTGATAGCAACATGTCCACGAGAAGCACCAGAGTGCCCAGGGGCAGCTCTGGCTCCATGTTGCCGAGTGCTATGGTGTGTCGAGCGAGGGCAACCAGAAGTGCTGTGGTGTCCTGAGTGTGGGCACTCAGGGCACTCCAAGACAGGACTGCTTTGCTGTCCCTCATCGAGGTAGACAAGCAAGTGGGGAACCCTGAGAACTGTTTGTCTGGGGTGGGGGTAGGGTCCCTTTAAGCACAGAGCTCAGTTAGCCTCAGGCAGCAGCCCCACACACTAAGTCCTAACCTGATGCCCTGCCGGCACTGGTTCCAGCCAGCCTTAACTTCGGTTCAGGGTCCACTCAGTGTGGAAGCGCTATTTTGAAATAGCAAAACGTTATTTTAAAATAGATTTTGTGTGTAGATGCATTAATTCAAATTAGCTTATTTCAAATTAAGATAATTTGAAATAGTGCTGTAATATAGACATATCCTTACTTAAACTCTGGAATATCCTCTCCCTTTTGTCAGTTCTGGAACATACAAGCCAGATTTTGATCCAAGTTAAATTGGTGGAAATTATTCTGGCTCCCTGGGTTCAAGGACTTTACTATATAACTATCAGTACATTCACCTCCCCCCTTCTGTTCTGAAATTTGATTTGTCCTTTTCACATGTGTTCATTTTTTTAAATTGTATCCTTTGGTATATATGGTTGTGACTATTTTCTACCACTACTTGATCTGAGGAAGTGGGTCTGGCCCACGAAAGCTCATCACCTAATAAACCATCTTGTTAGTCTTTAAAGTGCTACATAGTCCTGTATTTTGCTTCAGCTACACCAGACTAACACGGCTACATTTCTATTACTATAGTAAATACAGTTTGTTTCAGTTGGGGTTGTAGATGAACATTGGAGCAGTTAGTGATCCACTTGTATTTGATAATGCCCCATCGCTATTTTTTAAATCAAGGCAATACACTCTGTACTGGATTATCCAGATGGGGAGGTGCCAGAATTGCTGGGCCCCTCGGCAATATGTGGGGGGCAGCTCTGTGCTCTTGGAAGGGCCGAGAATAGGAGCCATCTTCTCCCAGTCAGCCCTTCTGCCCTACACAGAGCCCTCTGGCAGAGAGTTAGAGTCTGGGGCTCTGGTTGCTGCTGCTATAGTAGCAGCAGCAGTGGCTAGAAGCCCTGGGCCCGGGTGTTAGGGTGGTTGTCCCCTATGCTCTCACATCTCAGCCCACCACGTCAACAGTGGACCTGCCTGATGCTTACAGAGACATGTGCTTCAGACATCATGCCTCGTGACTAGTTGAAAAGCAGTCATGTAAAGAGAGAGGAAGGCTGGTTAGGGCTAGGGCTTGAAAGCTTAGATTCTGTTCCCCTGCTCTAGCACAGGCTTCCCATGTGACCTTGAGACAGCCATTTACACTCTCTGGACCTCCATTCCCTATCTGTAAAACGGAGATAATAGCACTGTCCTACTTGACTTGCTCTTGAGGCTAAATACATTAACACCTGTGAAATGCTCACTCTGTAGTAATAGAAGATAGACTGATAAATCTTTTTTCTCAACACAGAGAAATCAGCAAACATGTAGCCTATCAACTATAGCAAAACTATAGCAAAGTCAGTATTTATTGGGCCTATACATTTTTATATTCACTTGAAATCAATCAATGACTGGGATTAAATAAAAAAAAACTTAAGGGAATTAGACATCAAGTGCACTGACTTTCAGTGTCAGTTACTTATCTGATTTCCTTAAACAATTTTGTAAGTCTTACTAGCTACGCCACTCCCACCAACAGTGTTGTTTTTTGGTTCCTGATTCCCTTAGGCATTCTCTTTAAGAATGCCAGTCAATATCTGCTTGTTTGCTTCCTCGGTGAAGGAACATATGATGGGAGATGTTTCTTACTGTAAAATTAAAAAATACATCTGATGGAAAAGACCAGTGCATGCCCTAAAGAAGCACTCTATTTCTCTTTCAGTGGAAGCCTTTGAAGAGGTTTCTGACAGTCTCTGTGTCCCTCAGTACAACAAAGAGGGGGAGGAAAGGGTGATCCTCTTCCTGAAGATGGCGTCGGACCAGGTGTTCACTCAACATCTGGTGAAAAGGATTAGGGATGCGATACGTATAGCACTTTCTGCCAGACATGTTCCGAGCATCATTCTGGAAACCAAAGGCATTCCGGTATGTCATGAAAACACTGCCTAACTTTTTTTTCTCTTTGTTACCTTGAGGAGTAATTAAGGAGCAGTTGTCATCACTCTTCAAACCCACGCTCCTGGAAATTTTTAGCATCTTAAAAAGCATTTTCAAGTTTTATAAATAGTTTGTCTATGTTGCTTAGTAACTACTTTTTTTTGCTTTTTTTTTTTTTTTCTTCCTCAGCTAAGATAGTTTAAAAACAATCTCTATCCATCCTTGGCTTATAAATACACATGTGCCCTGCTGAGCTTAAGGTTGGGTTCTATTTTCTTACAAAACACTTGGGGTGCTTTCTCAATAAGCATTATAAAGCTAATTTTAGCTTTTTAGGTGTGCCAAAAAGCTTTTGCTAACTTTTCAGGGCTTTTCCCACTTTAGCTAGTATAGTTTTTGAAAGCTGAGAGCTTTAAGCAAATATATTAAATGCTAACTGATGTAGAAGCAATTTCAGTGTTAGGTCCATACATATTTTAAACAGTAGCAATAACTACATAAGGGCCTTTTCTCTGCATGTGCCTAACAAATATCTAATTACAGTCACACTCTATCATTTTAGTGTCAGACACAATCTTTCTCTGCCTGTCATGGGCCCAGTGGAAATGAGTTGTCCCTCTTCAGCTATTATAAATCTGATCTTAATGTAGTGTATCTAACAGGGCCAGGGAGAAAGACAGAGTTCCTGGTGTCCCTATTGATGACCTCTAACCTGTTTAGTATTCTATTTTGAGAGCACAGGTGTGACTGACTGGTACTTTAATGGGTGTATTTGCATGCTATTTAGAGATACAGCCATCTTGCCACTGTTCTCAAGTGTGAGGAAACATTTTCTTCTGATGAAGCAAAGCTGGACATCAGCCAATACTTTCCCTGGTTTAACTTTTATCTGAATTCAGAAAAATATAAGCCAGTAGGAAGATCTTTCAGTAAGTCAGTACCGACATAGAAGACTAGAGCAGGAGTCCCCTGAGAAGAGTACACTGATAATAAATGATTAGCAATAAATGACTGACTCTGTCATTGCTAAATCATAGGTTCTCTCTGCAAGGTAGAACAAGTTATTCCTTCACAAGGAAAACCTAGCTGCTTTCAGAGTGGTGAGTGCTTTTATATGTTTGTTGGCGAGAGATCTTCCATTTTCAAACCTGGTGAAAATGCAGGGGCTGATTCTACTTCACTGTGTAGTGCAGTACCTTATCTGTCTTCAGGGGAGTTACTGACTCACCTTGTTGTAAGTGAGCTTACACTTTGGCTCACAGAGACAGCTTGGTGCTCCTGTCCTTCTCCCAACTCTGCGACGGAGCCTCTCCATTTTAAAAGCCCTGCCTGAGCAGCTTGCTTGTTGGCAAGGTGGGAAGGTAGTTCCTGGCAGGCCATTTGCATATAGGCTTAAGTGTTCAAGCATTTCCTCTAAAGTAGTGTGGGCTTTGCAAACCATAATGCCTACTAAATCCAAATACAGGTTCTTAACTGAGTGGCTTGCCTTTCAGAGGTGCTGAGCACCTGCTGCTTCCATTGGGTTTGTACTTCAGACAAGGGCCTGATTCTGGTGACTCATGGCTTCAGTGGCATTCTGCCTGGTTTGCACTGCTATAAATAAGTAGAATTGGGCTCCATTTGACTTGTTTGCATGGGAGGGGGGGGGAGGAGGAGAGTGGAAAAACTTTCATGACTTTACCTCCTGAGGTGGTGATATAGGCTTTTATAGATGCAATTTCAGCTTCTACATAAAATGTTGAATTTGTGAGTTATACAAATCACTTGAATGTAGAGAATGAAGTTGATGGCAATGAGGTGCTTGACAGTCAGCCCCTTAGGAATGCCTGCTTAGATCATTAATGAGTTCACACTGTGATTGAATTTACAATTGAATGAATTTTAATTGTATTTCAGGTAAAGTGTACCAGCAGTAATGTGATCACAGCTGACTCCTTGCTTTCTTTGAAGGTTTTACTTGAGGAAACAAAGTCTTTCTATATACTGCTGTTTCTAGATACAAATTTTCATTAAACTCCCCCCCCCC